GTGCCCCTCCCCCACTCATGCTCTGTCTCTCTCTCCCTGTCAAAAATAAACATTAAAAAATTAAAAAAAAAGACAGACATTTAGACCAATGATATAGAAGAAAGAACCCAGAAATAAACTCTTGCACATATATTTAAAAGATTTTCTACAAAGATGCGAAGACCACTCAATGGGGAAAGGCCAAGTCCTTTCAACAAATGGCACTGGGAAAGTTGAGTATTCATGCCAAAAGAATGAAGTCGGACTCTTACCTTACCTTACTTACAACAAATACAAAAAATTTACTCAAAATGTATCAAAGACCTAATGTAAGACCTAAAACTATAAAACTCTTAGAAGAAAACATACAGAAAATCTTCATGACACTGGATTTAGCTATACTTTCTTGAAATGTTTATGTGCACATATTATGTGCTCAGGCATGGTTTAAAGTTCTTAGGACACACCACTAAAAGCATGGGCAAAAAAACTGAAAGTGGATAAACTGGACTATACTAAATAAAATTAGTTTTATGCACCAACAAACAGTATCAAAAGAATGAAAAGGCAACACATGGAATGAGAGAAAATATTTGTAAATCATATGTTTCAGAAGGGGTTAATATCCAGAGTAAATAAATCCTACCACTCAACAACAAAAAAGCAAACAACTGATTGAGAAAATGGCAAAGTACTTGAATAGCCATTTCTCCAAAGAAGATAAACAAATGGCCAATAAGTATATGAATAGATGCTCAATATCATAATCATTAGGGAAGTACAAATTAAATCAATGAGATGCCACTTCATACCCATTTGAGTGGCTATTATCAAAAACCAGAAAGCATAAGTGTTGACAAGGATATAAAGAAATTGGAACTCTTGTCCACTGCTGGTGTGAATGTAAAATGGTATGGCTGACATGGAAAACAACCCAAGTATCTACTGATGGATAAATAGATAAACTAAATGTGGTACATATATATAAAAGAATATTATTCAGTCTTAAAAAGGGAAGAAATTCTGATACACGCTACAATATGGATGAATCTTGAGGATATAATGATACGTGAAATAAGCCAGTCACAAAATAACAGACACTGTATGATTCCATTTATGAGGTATGCAGAGGAGTCAAATTCATAAACACAGAAAGTAAATGGTGGTTGCCAGGGGCTAATGGGAGAGGCTAATGAAGAGTTCTTATTCAACAGATACAGAGTTTCAGTTCTGAAAGATGAACAAGTTCTGGAAATTGATGGCTGTAATACTTGCACCAATGAACTATATACTTAAAAATGGTTAAAATAGTAAATGTTTTGTATATCTTAACACAATGTTAAAAAACCCACTATCAGGACAAAATTGTTAAACAACCCCCACCACCCCCTATTCCCATCCTATATGTTCTGTAGGAAGAGTAATTGATTCATCCATTCATTCAGTCATATTATGTGCTCAGGTATGGTTTAAAGTTCTTAGGACACACCAGTGAATACAAAGATCCAAATTCCTAGGACTTAAAATCTAGTGGCAGGAGGAGGAGAAAGATAGAGAAAAACAAAGTAACTTATTTAGTATGCTAGAAAGTAGTAAGCCATAATGAAAAAATAAAGAGTAGAGAATAGTAAGGGAGGAATGTTAGGCTAGGTGTGGAACTCATAAATGTTAAATAGGGCCAGAATATGCCCCATTGACAAGGGGACATTTTGGCAAAGATTTGTTAAGGTAATGTAGCAAATCAAGTGGATATATGGACAAAGATCATCCCAGAAATAGGGAACAGCTAAGGGCCTAAGAAACTGGCCTGTTGTTTCAGCAACAGCAAGAGAGCCAGTGTGGTTGGAGCAGAGTGAGTAAAGGGAATAATGGTAAGAGATACTGTTAGAAAGGTATAAGCCATTGTAAATCTTTTGCTGGATATAATCTGGAGGTAGAGCCAGTAAGATCTCTGCCAAGATTCTTCTTGGCAGAAGAAGAACCAAGGATGATGCTAAGGTTTTAGGTCTTAGCAACATTAAAGATGAAATTACCATGAACTGAGATGGAGCAAGTTGCAAGAGAAGCAGGTTGGGAGAGGAAGACTAGGTGTTCAGTGGCAGACATATGTGTTAGCTATACCTATCAGATATTCAAATACAGGTATCAGTAGGTAGTTGGATATATGAGTTTAGAGTTCAGGAAAAAACATGTGGCTAGAGATCTAAATGAGCATATATATGGTATGTGAAGCCAAGAAATCAGATAAGGTCCCCAAGGGAATACAGATAGAGAAGAAAGAGGTCCAGAGTCTAAGGCCTAGAGTAATAAAACATGAAGAAGTTGGAGAAGAGAGGAAGAATCAGCAAAGGAGACAGAAGGAATGACCCAAGAGGTCAATGGGAAACCAGAGACCTCATTTGAACGTGGGTCCATTCATTACTCTTCTTTAACCTTGTGAAACAGTTTCATCTCTCCATGTTTTGATTTTCCTTGTCTGCACAATAAACATAATACCAATTACCTCATGTAGTTGCTGTGAGATTTAAATGAGATCAGGTATTGGAAAACAGCTAGCCCATGTAGTACTGAGACTGTGCAAGAGCGCAATAAACAGTATGTTATTAAGATGATTAACAACAATGAATGGTAGTTCCCTCTCAGGCTATTATAGTCATTTATTCTAACACTTTACATAAAATTAGTTAGGAACTAGAAACAAAAGCAATAGACACCCACAATAAGCCTGCAATCTACTACACCAGCCTTAACCTGATGGTTCTTCTATCTATAAATAAGCTTTATCAAAACACCTGGTTTCCTTGAACATGCCCTGTAAGTCCTGCCTCCCTTCCGTGCTCATGTTGCTCTCTTTGCTTCATTTACTCTCTTTCCATATATACTTAACTAAAATTCTAACCCATCCTTTCAAGGCATACCACAAAAGCCACCTTCTGCTTTGAAATCATTCATGATTTACCCTGATTGGAGGTGATCTCCCTTTCCTTTAAATTTTTACAGTTTTGATGAACTTCCATGGCACTTACCATTTCAATCAAGAGTTAATTACAGTTGACCCTTGAAGTGTGTTATATGCAGATTTTTCTCAATAAATGCAATATAGTACTGTCAACGTTGACACTTTCTTTTCTCTAGCTTACTTTATTGTAAGGATACATATACAAAATATTTGTTAATTGACTGCTTATGTCATTGGTAAGGCTGCTAGTCAACAGTAGGCTATTAGTAAAGGTTTTGGGGAATGCAAAGTTATATGAGGATTTGCACCTGCATGGGAGGGAGGTCAATGTCCCCAACCCCCATATCGTTCAAGGGTCACCTGTATAAATATATTAACCTTTCATTTTATTTTCTTAGGTCTTCCTTTCTAATCATACAGTATCCTTAACAATATATTAATTCATCAGTTTAATAATGAGAGTCTAAAAAATGCACATGTATTTTTAAAAGATATTAATTTAACCACTGTTACTTCAATAAGCCTTTTAGAAATCTTATTTGCTGCTATTCTAAGCTTTGGCTTAAATCAATACCCAGCACTACATTAAATCTTGTTTTCTAGATATCTGCCTATTATATTCCTTTTTGTTACTCGTGTTGGAAGTTAATTTCCAACCTGAAAACAACACACACTGCTAAATTTCATATTGTTATAATTTGTACAAGAAATCCAAATTGTGAAGGCATTTCTACTAATTTTTCTCTATGCTTATAATCCTCAACTTGTCACATCAGCAAATTTGTGTACTGAATAACTCACCCTATATTCATCTGGAAAAATAAGGAAATCTATTTTAGCATGGTAACTTGAGGAATTTACATGTTTGCGTCCACTTCCCTCTAATTTCCTGCTCTCCTACACAATAGATGGTCTGTTTTATTTTTTAATGAATAGTGAGAAAGAAGCAGTGTTACTTAGTTGCAGAAGCTTTTAGACAAACCGGACTTTGGTTTGAATCTTGGCTTCACCTGGTTCAAATCTAGTAAACTATACAATTTTGATCAAGTTACTTAAAGTTCTGGTCCTCAGTTTCCTGGTCTTCAAAATGGAAATATTACTTAAAAGGATAAATTGAAAATTAGATACCATAAATAAAGCATAAAGACTGGATGCTAGAATAACATTTAGCTTTTCTCTGTATTATTAAAAGAATCTATCCATTATTTGTAAAGCTATTACCATTACCTACTGGAAGCAACTAGTTTTTAAATTTAGGCCAAGATCCATTACAGTCGTTACTGACTTAGAAAATGTCAAACAACACTGCCTTTCATAAAGCAAAAAAAATTTTTATTGGTTTTACTGGATAGAGTACATTTTCTAGCAAGATTTTTTTTTTCAATAAAGTATAGCTGACATACAATGTTACATTAGTTTCAGGTGTACCACACAGTGATTTGACAAATTTATATGTCATGCTATGCTCACCATGAGTGTAGTTACCATCTGTCACTGCACAACACTATTATAATAGCATTGACTATATTCCCCATGCTGTACCTTTTATTCCTATGACTTATTCATTCCATAACTGGAAGCCTGTATCTCCCAATCCCTTCCAGTAAGATCTTTAACATGAATAATAAATGAGATAAATGAATAAGAAAAGTAGAAAGTGATATGCCAACATTTGCCATTATTATTAGTAGATTACAATTGGCTCTATGCAGTAATTTAAAAAAAAATTTTCTTTAATGTTTATTCAGTTTTGAGAGACAGAGAGCAAGCAGGGGTGGGGCAGAGAGAGAGAGGGAGACACAGAATCCGAAGCAGGCTCCAGGCTCCGAGCTGTCAGCAGAGAGCCCGACGTGGGGCTCAAACTCACGAACTGTGAGATCATGACCCAAGCCGAAGTTGGACACCCAACTGACTGAGCCACCCAGGCGCCCCAACTATGCAGTAATTTTAAAGCCTTAAGTAAGTAAATAGGACAAATATATTTGGAAACAAATAAAAAAGAAGCTTAAAGAAAAGGTAAATATTTTTACTGTTCAAAGAAACTGATCAATTATTTCCTTACCTGAATCACTTGCTGCAACAACAACTGTTCCACCAGGAGCAAAAGGATCATTGTGCTTCAATGTTTCTACCTAAAAAAATTACACAAAATCATGACTATGAGAAGCAATGTTTCACAGCTGAAACCTCATTGCCACACCAAGCAAAATATTCTTCACAAACTCTAAATTAGTTAAGAAATACAAGGCATTAGGAATAAATGTTTCCCCTTATTGATTTGCAATCTAATTAAATTGGAATGATAAACATCATTTTCTAATCTTCTTTTATTGTATAATATAATATCCATTCAAAATGGTATATGAAACATGCATGTCTTGACAAACAAGTGTCAAATGAACACTTATGTAATCACCTTCTAAGAAACTGCCAACACCTCAGAAGTCTTATGTGCCCCTCTCCAATCACAATACCATCCTTCCTCGGTAGAGGTTATTATCATCCTGACTGGAGGCATTCATCTCTTTTCTTCACAGTTTTGCTACTGGTACAAATACACACTATTACAACTTTTCATTTTGAGGTAATTTTAGATTTCTAGAACAAGTGTAAAGATAATACAGAGAGTTCCCATATATCCTTCACTCAGCTTCCTCTAATATTAATATCACATGTAATCACAGTACATTATTAAAACTAAGGAATTAACACTGATACAAAACTATAAGCTATAGATTTTATTTAGATTTTTCCAGTTTTTCCACTAACGTCCTTCTATTCCAGGATGACATGTTGCATTTAGGGTGCATACTATTCTAACTCTTAAATACCTTAGTACTTAATATCAGTAAATACTAGATTTCTACTTTCTAATTGTTATCTAAAAATAATTCTAGCATTTGTCCCATCAGAGGAACGTACACACGTGCTCCAGAGGAAGGGGGAGAAGAAAGGAGGGAGAAACAGAGGAAGGGAAGGAAGGAGCACTGCTAAAAAGACCTTCTACTTTCAATAGCCAGGTAAGAATCTGGACCAAGTGACAAGGGTGAGTGGCTACAGAGTGAGGACTTTACCAGAACCCAGAGATTTCTGCTATAGAACTGTTTTCCTAACTTATTTTAGTTTTTAATCATAATCAAACAAAGTATGTACTTAGGAAGAATTAACTGAACTTTCTCTTTCTGGCATCAGGCTCTTGTTAAGAAGCCAACAAAAGCCTTAGCAGACAGTTAGATGAAAGGGGCATGAAAAGGGTTTGGGAAAATTGATCTCTGACTCATGGCTATCCATGCCATCTGTATTACAGGCTCTATTTCTAATCATCAAGAAATTGGTTATTACAATTGAATGTCAAAGAATATTGCAGAGCTCAATTGATACATTTCCAAATAAAACAAATGTATTTGAAAAGAGAAAAGTATTGCTAACCAGGACTTGTAGTACAGTCTCTATAAAAGAGAACCCATTTAAACTACTATTAGAAAGTGGTATATATATATACACAATGGAGTATTACTCGGCAATCAAAAAGAATGAGATCTTGCCATTTGCAACTACATGGATGGAACTGGAGGGTATTATGCTAAGTGAAATAGTCAGAGAAAGACAAAAATAATATGACTTCACTCATATGAGGACTTTAAGAGACAAAACAGATGAACATAAGGGAATAATATAAAAAATATAATATAAAATAATATAAAAACAGGGAGGGGGACAAAACAGAAGAGACTCATAAATATGGAGAACAAACCAAGGGTTACGGGAGGGGTTGTGGGAGGGGGGATGGGCTAAATGGGTAAGGGGCACTAAGGAATCTACTCCTGAAACCATTGTTGCACTATATGCTAACTAATTTGGATGTAAATTTTAAAAAATAAAAAATAAAAAAAGAAAGAAGTAGTTAATATTAATGAAGCTTTTAGAACTAAAGATGACAGTACTTATTTTAACTGATGCCAATAATATTATTATAAAACTATCACACTAGCTTATATTCTGATTATATTTGCTGAATGAATAAAGAGCATTCAAAGGGGAGCCTGGGTTACTCAGTCGGTTCAAGTGTCCAACTCTTGATTTCAGCTCAGGTCATGATCTCACGGTGCATAGATCGAGCTCTGCATCGGGCTCTGTGCTGACCACACAGAACGGGCTTGGGATTCTCTCTCTCTCTCTCAAAATAAATAAACATTAAAAAAAAGAGCAATCAAAGAAAAATACTAAGCTGGTCTATATAGCCAGATAACTTTGCATGGTTCCTAATTTAATAGTCAAAATACCAGTGTGAGAAATAGTCACTGACGTAACCTAAGTCACCAACTATTATTGCTTCTTCTCTTTACTTTCAGGGAAGGAAATGATAACAGGCCTGATTTTTAACAAAAGCTTACAGATTTATTTGCCATCACAGAGAGAATTAGAAAAAGCAGGGCTACATGAGTGTTGGGTTTAATTTCTATTACTTCATCACACTGTGCCCCACATAAAAGACCATTAAGACAGAAAGAGGAACAGGAGGGACTGTGCAGCCCATGAAGGAATAAGAGGCCACTAAATGTTAGGTTCAGTGTGATAATTAGGCAATTTAGTACACAAAAGTAATTTCATAACTAAAATTCAGATGGCATGATTTTATAGAATGTTCCAAAATTATCATTGAAATTCTCTCTCTTAAGCATCACTCATCTACACCTCCACTCTGACTGTATCATTTAGTACCTACACAATGCTACCATACGCTAGCTAGGACAGTAAGGAATGGCAACTGTTTGGTTTGTGTTGCTTTTTTAAATTCCATCCCTCTGTGGGGCGCCTGGGTGGCTCAGTCAGTTAAGCGTCTGACTTCAGCTCAGGTCATGATCTCGCGGTCCGTAAGTTTGAGCCCCGCGTCGGGCTCTGTGCTGACAGCTCGGAGCCTGGAGCCTGTTTCAGATTCTGTGTCTCCCTCTCTCTCTGCCCCTCCCCTGTTCAC